GAAATGTTTGCACACTCTGTATGGATTATTCCCATTTTTATTGATGAAAAAAAAAAAGATGTAGTAAAGGAAAATATAATGTGCGTTTTGTAAATATTAAGGTGAATCCGTACAAACTTAAGGATTTACAAATCACACGAATTTCTACACAATTTCTTGTAGCCTTTTATAGCCGATGGCGAAAAAGCAACAGCCAGGCGATAAAGTGTAAAGCCCGGCGATAGGAACTATAGCCCGGCTGTATAATTTTTTATCGTTTCGTGTAGCCCGGCCGTATGATTTTTTCCACTTTCTACAGCCAGCTATATGATTTTCTATCGCCTTCACCAGTCGGCTATAAGAGCTCCTATGGTATTTTGAAACGCAGCTCCTATCGCCAATTTTTACCAGGGAACTTTTGCATTGGCATCTTCAGAAATTATTACGCAGGAACGTTGATTTCTGTAGGTATTTAAATAAAAATCCAGTCGATAGGTCTGTGTATGAAGGTAGGTGCGAAGATCGTGAATCATACATCGATGTCCAAAGTGCAAAACCGCGTATCATCAGTTTGCACGTTGTGGAATTCCTTTTGACGATTGTCATAATTAATTTTTTAATTGGCAAACCAGCCAACTTGATTTCATAAGAACTTCCTCGATTTTTCCTCTTTTCTAGCAGAATATTCCGTAGAATTTTCAAGTCATATACGTAGGAAAAACGCCGTATGAGCCCTCAGGCGTTGTCAAATTTCCTCTCGCAAATCACTTATTTCTAGGAAAACTTATGAATATTTTTCTGCCAATTTCTCGGATGATTTAGTTAGCAATTTTACCTGAAGATTCTGAAAATTTAAAGGAAAAATATTCATAACTTTCCTAAACAATACACATTTTATCGAAGGAAATTTGGCAACTGTCGAATGTTCCTACGGCGTTCTTCCTTAGCACGGCAGTGTAGTTGACTTTTATTTTTTGAAAAAATAAAACAGGAGCAGATATTTTGAAACACCACAATGGAGAAACGTGGTTTCGCATTTTAACCATCGGTATTCGAGCAGAGACGCTGTTATTAAAAAGGGGTTGATAAGTAAATGATGAGCAAAGAAGGTACATAATATGTTTTCACCAGAAATCGAGCATTTTTCATTTTAAGGCCACTTAGCCTCCAAATTAAATCGAATAAAAGCTCTCTCACCAGACTTTCTATTTTACACTAAATGAAGGTTGCAGCAAGTAGGGCTAGTCTCTCCTTTAAACGATGATGTCTTGTCTCTTCGTAAAAATAAGAAAAAGGTTTGCTCGAGCCGTTGGCAGCTGGTTTCCAATAATTTAGTATAAATTTTGAAAATGACGTCAAGAGATACATCACAACCACACACAGTGAAATTGACACGAGTGGCCGTTTGACCCGGGTGCGCATTTATATTTCCATGAATTAGCTGCGGATTTGCTGATGGACTATTTTTTCGGAACGTAAATCTGTCACTCCATTCATAAGTTGTTTCGCACGGAAAATCGGGAAAAGTGATACGTTTTGGAAAGCATAAATTAGTGATCATAATTGATTGTTTCGTTCAAATCGGTAGAAAAATAATAATTTTACGCACATTCTGGCAATTTTAACCTTGACTCTATTTTTGCGTCTCCTCCACGCCGCAGACAATTTATAACTTCGTCCCAATTTCTCACGACTGCCTTCATTTTATCCAAAATTGCGTCAAATTTATTGATTAAATACGTTTTTTCATGTATGTCACCGAAATTGTATTGCTCTTTTTTCCAAATCATGTAGGTATTAAAAACAACTAAATGAAGTTTTCATCCAAAATTTGTATCACCTTAAAATATTTGTTTTTTTTGACATTTTTCCCACATAATGCATTCATCTGTAACTGTACTTCATGCATGGATCTTCGTTTCAATTAATAATTCAATACCTCCCTTACACATTATTTAATTAAGTAAGCACTCAACCTCCATATCTTCGCTTTTAATGATCAATTAAATATTTGAATTTTAAATTGTTTAAATATCCCTATAACTCTACTTTTTATTCAGAACTCGCATTTTTTTCCCTTTAAGGGCACCTTGCAGCTATTGCAACGTTGCATGGGGTCGAAAGTATTCAATTCGCTACAAGAACTTTCGACTTAAGAAAATGAACGTATGTACACAAACTCATTCGGATTTTGTATTCGTGAAGAAGTTTACGAAGCTTTGTCTGACTCTTTCCATCACCAATTTTCCATTGAAAATAATACTTAAAATACGTACACTTACATAAGATTGGTAAAGCGTCTATCTACATTAAGTATACTATACTGTCAAATACTTGTTATATGATTTATTGCGCCCCTTATCGGTGTCGGAGGATTTTGAAATTCGAGGAATGTTGGAATATGATACTTACAAATATAGGTGGGAGTGGGGAGGGGGAGGTTGTAGTTAGTGATTTTAGAACAACGCCATTGAGATCAGTGGTTTTCGTCGTAACTGTCAATTTATGAGCTAGATATTAGGATGAAAAATGGAGAAAAAAAAACCCTGCACGAGTCACCTCTGAGATTCCCAATTGCATAGAACCTTTAATCCGTTGCACATCTCGCCATACCTGTAATTTGAACTACAAATGAAAATTCTTTCAAAAAATTAATAAATGCCTAGAGGCGGCCGCTGTTGATTACTCGAGAAACCTATCAATTACTCTCTTACCCCAGAATCAAGTGCGGAAAGTGTTGCTGCCTATGAAACTGTACACGAACGAATAATAACCTCAGAAAAACGCAAGAAAGTCATTTGAGGACTAGGATCCTTCGAAAGTTCACGTGACCCACACATACATATAATATGCTGGGTGTATATACGGAAATAAAAGCTTTGGAGCAGGGTGACGTTTCAAAGTCACGAGCATTGTCCTTTAAACTCAAGACACGAAAAAAAAATAAAAATAAAAAATACAAGCCTTCAGCGCATACGAAGAAAACGTAGATTCAAACTTTCGTGTTAAGTACACGTTTTTAGCAAAAATCAAGTTATTTATAAAGTCATCGCTACAACTCAACTGTCCCAAATCTAAGGTAGGCCCGTTACTTGGAAAGTTGGCAGCCCACCAATACTACATTTTTGTTTATAATTTTTCCTCTTCGCTTGTACTGCCGTGAGGAAGAACGCCGTATGTACATTAGAGAGTTGCCAAATTTCTTCCGATGAAATGTTTATTTTTGAGGAATCTTATGGATATTTTTCCTTGAAATTTTTAGGAATTTTACATGAAATCGTGAGCAACATTATCTAAAGAGTTGGAAGGAAAATATTCTTAAATTTACCATGAAATCCGTGTTTTATCAAAGGAAATTTGGCAACGCCTGGAGGCTCGTATGGCGTTTTCCCTTAGCACGGCAGTGTAGCCCCCTTCCTTCTCATTAGATGACGCGACGGGCAATTAAACCCATTTGATTTTTCCGTATCAGTTTATTACGAAGCTCACAGCTCATTACGGAAGCCTTTTCTTTTGCCGATAGTTAGACCACGGCCACTTCAAACGATGTAAAACGATCGAAGGCTCATCAGACAGACGGATTATCTCTATTCATTCGTGAGAAATTTTGCACCGGACCCAAACGACAGCAATTAGTGTCACTGGGACAAGCGTATCACGTTTTAGTTTAGATTAATGGAGTGAGCGTGGATGGTTCTTGATAAAATTCGATAAATAAAGTCTGACATGTAAAAATAACGGATAATTATTTTATTGCACACGGCATATCTTTCGTTTTTTACCTACTTATATTGCCAATTCAAAAAAGCAGTTCCTCGTGCGTGAAATAAAAAGTTGGTCAACATGCTGCCGTGATAGCGAAGAGAGCAGTAAGTGCATTTCTGTATGAGCTATAGCAGTGGCGTGGCGTGCTTTGTGATATATCGATTGATACGCCACTCAAACCTATGAAAAAAGATCGATTATTAGGGTGTCCGCAGCGAACACCTTAGTAATCGATTCTTTACCATAGCTTCAAATGGCGAGATATCGATAATCGATCATTCACGTCACGCCACTGAGCCATAGTTGACACATACTTAAATGTGTCTCAAGGTTCATCCCAGCATGCACTTATTGCTCTCTTTGCTGTCACGGCAATATTCTGCCGTGCAACGCAAAAGCGCCGTAACACCGTAGCGCCATTTTACACTTTTTGGAAACAACGTATCATAGCAGAAAAACTTGTGTACCTTGAGACAATGTTTTTTACAGAATTCTCTCGCAAATACTATCAAGAACTTAACCTGAAAATTTGAGGTGCATGGGTAAAACAGTTTTTATTTTATAAAGTGTAAAGTTTCAAAAAACGAGGGAAAATCTTGATGGATTTACGGCGTTCTTGCTGCGCACGGCTGTTTTGTCGGGAGCCTCGATGTGAGCGCAGGCACAAATACAGAGTGATCTAAAAGTTCCCCTACACCCCTGTAGCCCCAGCAGTTAGTGCCCCTTTTCAGAGAAATCACCCTAAAGTTTTTTTTGGGGGGGGAGGAGGAGGGGGGGGGTCCCCAAAAGTCGTTTCCTTTGACCTAAGGAGCACTCACAAAATGTAAAGTCTCCATTTCGATTTCTTGAAAACTTTTGGATCGCTCTGTATAGGAAGGAGCTACGCACCCCTCCTTCTCTTAAAAATATATGAGCGCTTATATTTTGCCATTTTGCTGAGCATTAAATGTTGGTTGCTTCCGGTAAAAAACGATATGCGCATGACTACATATTTTTAAGTGCATTAATTTTGTATTTATTTTTTATTTTATTTTCTGTTGTTTCTTTTTTTTAAAAGAAATGTAACCAAAACATCTCATTACAATTGTTGCGACTATTTTTGAATTAATGAAATAAATTATCGGAACATTTTTAGAAAAACTTTTTGATTTTGGCTATTCAAAACAACAGATTTATAACATCTTAACTTAAAATTCGACTTCGTAAACCTTAACCCTAGAAGCAAATGAGCTGCATGAATAATGTTTACCACTCACCACAGAAAACGGAGATCAACTTCGAAATTTTCAGAGGATGGTACGAGAAGATCTTTGCTGTTTACAGACTGTGAGGGATTTAGTCCTAAAAGAAAAATAAAAAAACAAAACCAATATAAGTACAATAAAACAGTCACAAAGTATAACATGTGTACGAGACAATACAGCAGATTTCTAGTATAAATTGACTGAATTTTGCAATTAAGAGTTACAAGTTTAGGTTAATCCATAAAAGCACTAATCTGGGTGAGAACACTTATGGCACATATGCTTTTTCTAAAATGACCCAGAAATGGCGTGGCGTACTTTGTGATATAGCGATTAATCTGCCATTTAAACCTATGTAAAAGAATCGATATATCAAGTGTTTGCAACGAACACCTTATCAATCGATTCTTTATTATAGCTTCAAATGGAGAAAATATCGATAATTGATCACTCATGCCACGCGCCACTGCGTCGATACGGAATTCGTTGAAACCTCCGCCTGATTTTCCTCTAGATTTTCTAATTCTGGAAACAAAAAATTGCAGAAAATCCACCCACTAGTTTCCCCTCTAAATTATAAATTGGCAGTGAGGATTTTGAGACACTACAACCAAGAACTGCCCTTCCTGCTCCCAACGCCTCGATTATTAGCACCTTCTTGACGGTCAAGACGCATCCTCAAGTTATTGCAAGTGCCCCCTGCATATTGGGAAAACGCAACACGCGACGCGTCAGGTCGACAACTACCTTCCCCTCTAAAATATAAATTGGCAGTTAAAATTGTGAGACTACAACCAAAAACTGCCCATCTTCAAGTTATTGCAAGTGCCCCCTGCATATTGGGAGAACGCAACACGCGACGCGTGAGGTCGACAACGCCGTGGCGGGAATCCGCGTAATAAATCGAATGAAAGGGAATCCGGGCCGGAGACGAGCAATAAAAAACGATATTAATGATAAATCAATATCAGCTGTTGCTCCCGCCCGGCACGGACCCGGCTCGTAACGCGGGCTTGCCACGAGAGCGCGGAAATCTGCATGTTCCCCGACCGCTCGCGCTTCGGGGGAAAGTGGATACGACTTTCTTGCAAGCTCGCTACGGACTCATGCCACTTGATTCAATTTAGCCGCTGCTTCTTTCCCCCGGTTTCCGACACTGGCTCCGGCTCGCCCCGTTTGCCGTTCACCCATCCCCAACCCCGATCCCAGTGGCGTGGCGTGAATATAATCGATTATCGATATCTCGCTATTTGAAGCTATGGTAAAGAATCGATTACTAAGGTGTTCGCTGCGAACACCCTGTTTATCGATCCTTTTCCATAGGTTTAAATGGCAGAACGTTCGATATATCGCAATTCACGCCACGCCACTGCCCGATTCCCATCCGTCTCCAGATGATGAAAGACACCCTGTCCGTTCTCCGACTCCGTTCCCGATGCCCTTTCGTCCCGGGACCCGGGGTTGCCGTCCCGGGAGCCCGAACACCTCGGGGTTGATGCCCCCGCTAAATGACTCGGGAGGTGTCCTTGAAACTTCATCCGAATGAATTGCGCTCGAGTCAGGCAGAACGACCCTTATGATGATCGAATAGGTGAGATTGTTCCGATATCGACTGGTTCAACATACAGAGTTATTTAAAAGTCACGCACCACTGGTAATGAGGGGGGGTGGCCATTTGAAATTTTTGAGTTGTCTCCCCCCCCCCCCCTGTCCCCAAGGGGATCAAAAACTGGAAAGTACCTAATTGAAGTTGCAGATATTTAAAAACAAGATTTGACTACGGAAAATTCGGTGCTTCTGGTTCAGAGATCAATTGCTGAATCGAATGCAGTTATTTCTTCTGTAGCCAAATACTGTGTTGACCGAATAATGTTTTAATCTTTTCGTCGCGCATGGATCTCCAGACTAATGCTCGGGAGCTCTCGGCATTTTTTGGGCTAAAAAGTCACAATCAACCAAGATTTTTGACTTCACCGATGTGAAAACCGCATGCCAGTTTGAGCACGCCCAAAATCTGGGACAAATCACTTGAAGGTGGAAACTCGAATTGATAAAGATCGATTTGGGGTGGAAAAGATCGATTTTCAGATCTGCAATTTCATAATATTTTGCAAAAACGGTCAAAATTATTTTTCTCCATGAATTTCGATCTCTCGCTCAATACAGGGCTCACTAGCTTTATCAGTGAATCCTTATTATCTCTAGATCATCGTCATGCTCATTCGATCCGCATCACTATTAAGACAAAGTGAGGGACTTGGAGGACAAGACGCATGAATGTAGTTTTTGAAAAAATTGAGATATTGATGGTTTTAAGTGCAACTAGTTTTAATGTATTCTTTGAAAATTTCGATTCCAAATTCGAATTTCGAAGGATCACAAAGTCAGTTTGAACTTTCTTTCCGCCATGAGGATCCATGTAATGTAATTCGAAACTTCAAACACACTTTTTTCGAAAAAGCAAACACTGCACTCATGTACCGTGTCCTATGAGCACCTCAATTAGGTATCCTACATAGTACACGTGCACATCCAAAACTATCCGCTTCAAGTTCTCACTTGCTCAACATTTGACGGAAGGGAGGTAAACAGACGAAAACGTCATCTCAACATTAAAATTTCTGAGAGTTTGGGGGACTTGACAATACTGTTAAGCAGCTATTGCGTCTCATGAGTAGCAGCTAGACCACCCCATTTCACCCTCCTAATCGGGATGAGGGTGCAGGGTGCAGGGTCGAGGAGGAAAATCAAATAATTTATTTGAAAAGTGATGAGGGATAGTCTGAATAGCAAAGTGACATTTTTCAAATATAATCAGGACTGGTGACTTGTTGACAGCTTCAATAAGTACCTAATAACACCCTCGCCCTCGATTTCTTCTACCCTCCTCAACGGTCATGCAACCCTCTCACTGCAAATCGATGCGAAGAAGCCATATAAGGTTCTTGCAGAGAAGCTAAAAATCTTAAAGATGCTATCGGAGTGTAAATGTCGCCAATATGCTTTCATTTCAATTACTTGTGTCAAGTAATAGTCCAGTCAATAGGGGGTAAAGTAGAGACAATTTCTGAGGAAACTTTCTGATATACTATTCCTATGTATTTTTCATCGCTGAATCCGAATTTCACATTTGCGAACAAATCTGAGGCGAGCCAAAGCCGCCATCTTGAAAAAATGGCCGAAATTTGCGTTTTTCGGCCGAAAAACCGAAATAACTCGTGTATTATTGAAATTAAGGCAAAAGTAGTTATTTTCTAAATTAAAGTACATAAAATTTCCATTAAAAAGAGTCCAAGATGATTAAGATCGGATGATAACAAATGCCGTTACAGCGTTGCAAAGTTTCAGGCAAGTATTGAGGTTGAGCAAT